ACGTATCCTGTGAATTCATTGAGAGATGCTGGCAGTAATTTGCCAGCATTGTAGAAGTGAGGGAGGTAAAGGAAAGTGACAAAGTAGAATAAAATAGTTGCCTAAAATGTTACCACCCTGATAGGGAGAGGCGGTTGGACCATGTGCAGATTATCTCTGCACCCTGGTCTCATCCATAAAACTTGGAGTGGTAATAATAGGTACCTTCTTTATGGGACTTGTGTGTGTACTGAGTGCACACGTTAGCACTCCACCACTGAGCTGCACCTTCAGTCCTCATTTTTACATAATCCCCATATCTTGTTTTTCCTGTTTTTCCCAGGTTTGTTTGCTGTACTTTTGTATACTCACTCACGTTACTATACACTGTTGTGTGGTCATTTTCCATCTTGTTATGCTGACTTTTTTTGTTGTTGTTTTTTTGCGGCAATGGGGCTTGAACTTAGGGCCTTCACCTTGAGCCATTCCACTAGCCCCTTTTTGTAATGGGTATTTTCAAGATAGAGTCTCTAGAACCATTTGCCTGGGCTGTCTTCGAACCTTGATCCCCCTGATCACTGCCTCCTGAGTCTCCGGGATTACAGGGATGAGCCTGCAGCACCCAGCTGCTGACTATAATTTTCAGTGGTGATCCACTGTTCCATGATAGGCTATGTGCGTACTGCCATAGGTTTCCCATCCCTCCTGGACATTTGACTTGCTTCCTATAACTAACACTTTCATTTTTTCTTTCCTTTTTTTTTGCAGTACTGGGCTTGAAGTCAGGGCCTTCACCTTGAGCCACTCCACGAGTGCCAATTTTTTATGATAGGGTTTTTTTTTTGAGGGAAAAAAAGAAGCGGGACGGGGCGTCCTCCCCCGCGAACCTCGCCCATCCCTCCCTGGGACGGAGGGCAGCGGGCCCGCGGGGGCGATCGGGAGAGCCCCGCCCCGGTCGCGCCACCGCCCCCCCACGTCCCCCGTCCCAGCCCGGGGCCCGCGAGGCCCCAGCGGGGAGCGGGGAGGGCGCTCGCGCGCTCCCGGACGCGGCCTCCCTCGAGACGGGGACGGGCGCGCGCCTTCCCACGCGACGCCCGCGCCGGGCCGGGCCGCGGCCGACGGCCGGTGCGGACGGATGGAGGGAGGGAGGCGCGCCCCGGGGCGGCGGGAGGGGAGAGGAACCCCTCCGTTCCCCGGACGCGGAGTCACGGCCGGGAGAGGCGGGGAAGGAAGGAGAGAGATGGTCCACCATCTCGACTCTCCCTGCGGCGGCGGCCATTGTTTGGTCGCTAGCGAGCGAGACAAATCCTGGTGTCCAGGGCTGACTTTCAATAGAGCGCAGCGAGGGAGCTGCTCTGCTACCTACGAAATCCCGACCCAGAAGCAGGTCGTCTAGGAATGCTTTAGCGCCAGGTTCCACTCGAACGTGCGTTCCCTGATGGGCAAGGGGGCGGCTGTGCCCCGTTTCCTGGGACGAAGGGCTCTCCACACCGGACCCCAGTCCGGGAGGCGCGGCGGCGCGGGGGCAGACCTGACCGAGGCAGGGGACTCCCGGCTGTTGACGGGTCCCAGCGGGGACGGCGGGGGAACGCCTATCGGGGCCAACCGAGGCTCCTCGGGTGCTGTCATATCTTTCTGCCTGGGCGGGATTCTGACTTAGAGGCGTTCAGTCATAATCCCACAGATGGTAGCTTTGCCCCATTGGCTCCTCAGCCAAGCACATACACCAAATGTCTCAACCTGCGGTTCCTCTCCTACTGAGCAGGATTACCATGGCAACAACACATCATCAGTAGGATAAAACTAATCTGTCTCACATGGTCTAAACCCAGCTCACGTTCCCTATTAGTGGGTGAATAATCCAACGCTTGGTGAGTTCTGCTTCACAATGATAGGAAGAGCCGACATGGAAGGATCAAAAAGCGACGTCCCTATGAACGCTTGGCCGCCACAAGCCAGTTATTCCTGTGGTACTTTTCTGACACCTCCTGCTTAAAACCTATGATAGGGTTTTTCGAGATAGGGTCTTGTGGACTATTTGCCCAGCTGGCTTCGAACTTTAATCCTCCTAATCTGTGCCTCCTGAGTAGCTAGGATTACAGGCGTGAGCCACTGGTACCTGGCTCGTTTTTTTCTTAATTTTTAAAAAAATTTTTGCAGTGTTGAGGATTGAACCCAGGTATGTTAGTGATTTTTTTGCTGCTGTGACAAAATATCTGAGCAAATCAGCTTAAAGGAAGAGAAATTTATTTTGGTTCACAGTTTCAGTCTGTGGTTGGCTGGCTCCATTGCTTTTAAGGCCTGTGGTGAGGCAGAAGCATCATGGTGGAAAGGCATGGCAAAGGAAAGCTGCTTTCCTCATGGCAGCCAGGAAGCAGAGAGAGGGAGGAGGAAGGGTCTGTGGACAAGATAGGCCCTTCAAAGGAACATACCCAGTGACCTACTTCCTCCTGCATGACCCCACCTCCTAATTTAGCTATGAACTTACAGTAAATTAACCCAGTGCTAAAGCTGACACCTTCACAATCCAGTCACCTCAGTAGCAGCACCAGCAGGGGACCAAGCCTTCAACACATGACCCTTTGGGAGGAACACTTTATACCCAAACCATAACACCAGGGCCTTGTGCATTCTAGGCAAGCACTCTTTCACTGAGTTATATCCTCAACCTAATGAACAATTTTTTATTTGTAATATATTAACTTACTTCCTGGGAAATCTTAGGCAAGTTGCTTAATCTCTGTGTCTTTGTTGCCATGTATACTGAATGAGGTTAAGACCCTCATTGAGAGGACAGCTCTCAAGTAGACTAAATGAGGCAACACGCCAAAGTTCTTGGAACATGGCCTGGTGCTTACCAGATGCTCAGTAAACACCACCTCTTAATCTCTGCGTTTGATCTGTTTCTTTAGGCTTGCTCTCTAGAGATAGGCTTTCTTGATTCACTCCTTTCCAGAAGGATTTTAGCAGTTGATGATGTCCACAGCAATGTGCAAAAAGACCAACATTAGTAGTGATCCTTGGTGTAACTCTAACTGTAGAATACTAGTGGGAAAAAAATTCATACAAATTTAAGGAGCTTGTTAAGACTGGGTTTCACTTCTGCTCACCCACTTCAGCAGACAGACCTCATCTATTCCATGGTCAGGTTCAAAGCTATTTAGAAGTCTGTTTTTCTCAAGCTTCTGTGTCCCTGCTACATTCCACAAATTGTCCTTTCATGCCTAAAAATCAGTAGACTATTCCTTACTGATGCACACATTACCAAACATTGTTTTAGTCTGTTTTCTGTTGCTAATAACACAAAACCATTTCTGAGAAGTTACAAAGAAGAGAGGTTTATTTTTGTTCAGTTCTGATGGCCTTCATGCTGGCATCACATGGTAGCAGACAGGGAACAGGTGCACATCTGTCTTCTCTTCTTGCGAAGCCACCAGTACTAAGTAATGGGGACTCCACCCAGCTGATTTTATCTAATCCTAATTACCTCCCAAGGCCCCACCTCAAAGCACTGCACCCTCTTAATACCTCATAGCAGAGACTAAGCCCTGTCACAAATTTTGGAGGGAACAAATCATCCTCATACCATTTCAGACTTCTTTATACTTTTATTTTTTTCAAAACAAGCCAATAGTTTGCTCTAGGAAAATCCATCATGGCAGGCAATGACGTATTTTCAATCCCTTTCCTCCTCCAGGAAAAGAAACTGGCACAGGTAGTCATATGTCATGGTTTGCCCGTGTTAATACTTGTCCTGATGTAATTATCTGTAGGTGCTCTCTGCACCCTTAAAAGGACCTAGTTTGGATAACAGATGACATCACCATCTAGTCCTAGGGTTTCCTCAGCAGCTGAGGCACCTGCCTATACTCACTGCCTCCAACTCCACTGGTGACTTGCTCTCTTTTCAAAAAGGTTTCCGCCACATTCTTCTCACCATGCTTAACCTTTATGGGCTTGGCTTCTTATTTTTTCTTGTAGGACTGGGGATGGAACCCAGGGCCTCATGTGTGCTCTACCACTGAGGCACACCTCTGCAGCTCCTTTTGAATTCACATTAGCCCATGAGGCATCCACTCAAACATTCCCATTTTATCACCGTCTCCCTACACTGCTTGCTGAAGATTGTCAATGTCAGAGGCAGGGCACTTTTCATTTGTTGAAAAAGTTGCTCTTTGTCCTTCAGGATTGTTTATTGTATTCATAAGTTTCCTCAAAAGGGGGAGAAAGAGCAGGGGAGTGGCTAGACTGATTTAAGCACAGTATGTTTACAGGTAAAATACCAAGACAAAATCCCCATGAACAACGGACACTTAAAAATGAAGGTCAGGAATGTAAAATAGGTCATGTTAAGGGAAGGACTCCAGTGGGAAGGGGAGGGTAAGTGAAGGGTAAAGGAGTGTGAATATGGTTGATGTATTTTCTATACATGTATGAATATGGAACATTGAAACCTGTAGAAGTTATTTTAAGAAGGGGAGTGGGATAGGAAGGAGACCAATGAAGGGGACGAACTAAACCGTTGGATGACGTATGTTTATGTGGAAATGTCACAATAAAACAAAACCCCCATGTAACTATCTTACACTAATAAAAATGATTTTTTAAAAAAAGCTCTCATGCAACTAGGTCAGTGATGAGTTAGCGATAGCAAGGACTCAAGGACAAGGAGGGATCTGAAGTGGAAGCATACAGCTCCTGTCTTTTGGCCCGGGCAGAGTGTCTATCATAAGGTGAAGGTTTATCAGCACAGAAGCTTCTGCACTGAAAAAAGCAGATTAACTTCCCACTGATGATAACCTTATGTGATTAGGTAACTATATTTAAGCTGTGTCTCTGGCTTTGTGACTTTGGAAATGTCTGCATTTCCTGTGTACTGTGTGCCATCTTAAGGAGGAAAAGCAAGTATTCTGATGAGGAATCCTGCCACGTTGAATCAGCAGTACCAGTGAGGGGGTTGTAGTTCATAAGACAATGTGGATTCTTAGTTGAAGATTTATTTTTCTGTTTATTTCAACTAGGTGACTTCCGGATGGTGGTTGGAGAGGAAAAGACAAAAGTGTTGAATATTGTGAAGCCCAACGTAGCCCACTTCCGAGAGCTCTATGGCAGTATACTGCGGGACAGTCCCCAAGTGGTATACAAAACCCAGCAAGGCAGACTAGAGGTAAACTGTGCAGAAACTTCCATTGTTTCTAAGACAAGAACTGTTGAAGGGAAAAATAAATAAGGATAGAACAGCATGGCGCATGGGTCACATTTCTATCTGAAAAAGTAAGTACCATGTGTAAACACACGTTCCTGTGCATCGGGGCAGTGCAGACACTAGAAATAAGGGGGACCTTTGAGAAGAGAACTGCAGGCAGGAGTGGGAAGGGGACGTGTTTTTGTTAGGCCTACTCTTTTGTCACTTGAAGTTCTTACAGTGTCCATAAATTATGAGTCAGAATGAGCAAAGACAGACTCAGATCACTGTCTTTCCACCTCCAGGCCCATGTACTTCTCCTGACTGGTTGAGGAGTATTCCTCCAGATCTTTTTTGCATATAATTGTGTATATTTGTGTACATGTATGAAGAGGTTCAGTCTTTTTTGTTTGATTTTATTTTACATAAATGGGATCACATATATTATTCTGAAGCTTGCTTTTTCTGTACTTGTGTTTATTATGTCTTGGAATTTTTCTTTTTGGTACACAAAAGAGACCTTATCAAGGTACTTTAAAAATATTATTGTTAAGTGATAGAAAATAAAAATCAAAGGACTTTTCTTTAGAGAAAAGTAATTTGAGCTTTAAGATTTTTTTTAACTATAAAAACCAAAGTTTTTTTTAACCTCTAACAGAAAATATAGTATGTTACTTCTTTTATGCTTTTCCTCATTCATATAGGAACAGGTAACATCATATTGTATAAAAGAGTAATGGAATTTCTCAAACTGAAAAGAGAGCTTTAAAACATAGGAATTTTTTTTTTTTTTAAAGAACAGAAAATGATGAAAATAAGAAAAGAATATTGAATGGCATATGAAAGGCCAGATATTTGCCCTTCAATCTAGAAGATTTTACCATGTGTACTTCAGGTTGCAGGGGTTTTGCTTTAATGTTTACTTTTATCAGAGTGATGCCTGCATGTGGTATAAAAGCCAAGTGGTATCTCAAGGTTTATAACAAAAAAATAGCAGTTTCTGCCAGGCACCAGTAACTCATACCTGCAATCCTAGCCACTTGGGAGGCAGAGAGCAGGAGAATTTCCGTTCAAAGCCAACCTATGTAAATAGTTTGAAAGACCCTATCTCAAAAATACTCAACAGAACATCATTCTGAGCAAGGTCAGCCAGGCTCAGAAGACCAAAAATCATATGTTCTCCCTCATATGCGGACTTTAGATCTAGGGCAAATGCAGCAATGTTGGTGGACTTGGATCATAAGAAAAGGGGAGAGCACATACTGGAGATATAGGAATAGGTAGAAAGCCCAAAACATGAAAGCGTTTGATGTCTCCATTCCAGAGGAACTAACAGAGAAACCTTAAAACGACAGGTTATCGTGAGCAGGGAATCAGGAACCAATGTAAAGATCAGTTAGAGTTGAATCAACATGGGTCATAACACATGGGTACATGAAAGCAATAGTAGGAATCTTTCAGTATAGCTATCCTTAACTAGCAAAAACGCTTTGTCTTTCTTATTATGCATATGTCCCGTCTTCAACAAAATCAGTCACAAGGGCAGAACAGGACCCGCCTGAAACTGGGGGGGGAGGAGGGGCAGGGTGGAGAAATGACCCAAACAATGTATGCACATGTGAATAAATAAAGAAACAAAAAATACTCAACATAAAAAAGGGCTGGCAGAGTGACTCAAGCAGTAGAGCACCTACCTAGCAAGCATGAGGCTCTGAGTTCAAGCCTCAGTACTGAAAAAAATAAAAAAGGTAGTTTCCTGTTTCTTGTTATATTTGCCTCTGTTCTAAATCATGAGATTAGACTGCTATTTCAGCATGTTGGTGAACCCAACATTCTCTAAGCCCCGCACAGTGGTTCTGGCAAGGTCCCGTGAGCAGCAAAGGCAGAGCTGGCATCCTTTGATCTTACTTGGTAGTGGATCTCAGCACTCTTGAGATTCCAAGGAGACCCACCATTGTGCTTCTTTCTTAATGGTCAGAGACACAAGATGGGGGAGTAAGGCCGCCTTTGTCTAGAGGGGATGTCCCAGCATGCTGCAGCCCACCCAGCCCCTGAAAAGTTCACCAAGGTGACAGCTTCCTGAAATTTCATAGGGTTCCTCTGAGGCATCTCCTACACTCTGAAATGCATATGTCTACCAAGGCTTCCAATGTACCTGCCCCTTTTTGCTCACCAAGTGACATTAACATTATGTCATCACTATAGTAGACCAACATGATACGATACAGACTCTCCAAATAGCCTGGTATCCTTCAAATATTTTGTGACAAAGGATGGATAAGTTAATCTATCCCTGAGGCAAACCACAGGGTATGCTGCTGTCTGTCCCAATGAATGTAAGTTGATTCTGACCCTCCTTCTAACAAGGATGGGAAGGAATGCATTCATTCACCAGGTCTGTGGTCCCAGTAATGCCCCAATCATGCAATGTGTGTCCTTTCTAGATCTGCTTTTTAAATGCAGTTTGGCTTTTACTTTCATGTTTCAAGGAGAACTTAAAAGCAATGACAGTTAGAATGCAGCAATTCCTTTGAACATGCCAGCTAATATTTTGTCTTTAAACACATGCTTTTGAGTAAAATTCTTTTCCTCGAGAAAACCATGGCAAATTCTACCTTTTTCCAATTACTCCAGCCATTTTGGCACCCCTAAAATTCCTGGCGTTTTTACAGATTGAAGTATAAATAAGTTTAAGATCCTATTGACCTATCCCAATTTGTGACCCCAAAACAAGAATCTATAGGTGTCATTTCTAGGACATGCTGCAGAAATATCCATATTTTTATCATCTGTATAGCTAAAGCTAAATAGAGGCTAGAGCCAGTGAATTCAGAACTATCCTAGTGATAAGTACCAAATGTTTAGGTAAACACACCACTCTTTTTTTAGAGCCACTAAATAATGGCATTTTCTTCTTTGTAGAGATTTGTAGACAAAGCTAGAAAATTCAGGCATTGATATGTACATTCTTAATAAATGTTGAATGAAAAAAATGGTAGAATGAGTGAGTTCTAGTCATTAAGACGGTTGTGTCTAGAAAATTTGAATCTAAAATCTCACACATTCAATTGTCTAATTTTTTCCTACTGCTCTTTTTTTTTTTTTTTTTTTGGTGTTTCTAGGACTTGAACTCAAGGCCTACAACTTAACCCATTCCACCAGCCCTTTTTGTGTTAGGTATTTTCGAGATAAGTTCTCACGAACTATTTGACTGGGCTGGCTTCAAACCGCGATCCTCCTGATCTCTGCCTCCTGAGTAGCTAGGATTGCAGGAGTGAGCCACTAGTGCCTGGCTTACTGCTCTTTTAATTGAAGTTAAAACCTAAACATTTGGTAAGAGAATATAAGACAGATACATGGGATCTTCTTCCATAGAAAATATTGTGATATACTATTGAGGACAGTGCTGTTGGCAGGCAGGCAGTGTTTATATGTTCCTTTTAAAAACTGTAATTCCAGCCAGGCATGGTAGCACACAACTGTAATCCCACCACTAGGAAGGCTGAGGTAGGAGGACCATGAGTTCAAGGCCAGCCTGTGCTATATGGTGAGACATTGACTTAAAAAAAAAAAGAAAAAAAAGATCAACAGATTTAATTTCATGAAGCAAAGTATTCTATGTTAGGGAAGCCAGTTTGGTCTCAGCTGTGAGGCTAACTTTTGATGCCGTGGTTTCCAGGTGAAGTCTAATATAGGGTTTTATGGTTTTTTTATTTCTGTTTTATCTTTTAACACCTTAATGTATTCATTGTAGCTCCCTCTTATTTAGCAAGTCATGACAGCTAAGCCTCGTTGATTCACTGATTCATTCCCTCATCACCCAATATCTTTTGAATACCTGCTATGTGCCCAGGGATTCAAAGTGAATAAGAGCGCTTTTGTCATTGATGTATCCTACAGCTGTGAAGTTCTACATGGTTTGTAAAAGGCCCTGAGGGCAGGGGCACACATTTGATGCCAATCTCTTACTGACTGCATGATTCCAGGCATGTTACTCAGTTTCCCTGAATTTAAAATGGGAAGGACAGTGTGAGTGCCTGGATGTGACAGGGCTGTGTTGGCTGGCTGCAACCTCCCTTCCTTTAATTCCAGGATTTAGGACAAAGAGAAAAGTGACATTCTTTGTTATATGGAAGCAGAGTACTATAGGAAAAGCATTGTCCTCTTTGAAGGGACTTGGATCCTGCACTCAGACACTCAGTTTCAGTTCAGAAAGAAGAGAGTCTCCATTCCATGTTGTCACCAAGCATAGGTATGGGTGCTCATGTTTGTGTGATTTTATTATACTTTTCTAGAGGGAGAAAAACCATATTTAATTACATATGTATGCATGGGAGTCCCATATAATACGAGACTCCTGTTTGTGTGGTTTTAAATAGAAGCCATGTGTCTTTGAATATTTATATAATTCAGAGCACTTCCATAGACGTCATCTCTCTCTTTTTTTTTTCCCCTCAGATAGATAAAAGCCCAGAAGGACAATTCACTCAGCTAATGACATTGCCCAGAACCTTACAGCAACAAATAAATCACATTATGGACCCTCCTGGGAAAAACAGAGATGTGGAAGAAACCTTACTCCAAGTTGCTTATGACCCTGACTGTGGCAGTGTGGTACGGCTAGGTAGGCCCATGCCTGTGACATTGAGAAAGTGCTGACTGTGGGTAAAGCAGTCTCTGTGATTGAGATGTGTTATTTCTTCTTTCTTGCCTAGGGAGATCAAGAGAGAGATTGCCTCTGGGAGGAAGAAAAGCACTAACAATTTTGGGTTAATGTTCACTTGTTTGAAGCAAGGTTGTGGGAATACATTTTTTCACATTTCCATATCCTAAATCACTGTCAAAAGGAGAAACAATGCTTCTTTTTGTTTCAAGAGCATAACTTCCAGAAGTTGCTTAAAAGATGTGTCTGTGTTCTTTGTGGTGGTCTGAGAAGGAAGAAGACTGGTGACGTTTTTAATGATTTCATGACATCAGGAGCACAGCTCTCTCCAGCCAAGTCCCATTTGATATATCTTAGACTGTACAGCAGGTTTTCTTTAACATGGCCTGTGTTCCAGAGCATTCTCCCAGGGGCCTCCCCAGTGTTTATCAAATAATGTAAGGGTTGGGGTGTGGCTCAAGTGCTAGAGCGCCTGTCTTGCAAGCACAAGGCCCTGAGTTCAAACCGCAGTACTGCCAAGAAAGAGGGGGGAGGAGGAAAGAGAGAGAGGAAGCGAAGGAGGGAGGACAGAATGAAGAAAGAGATGGAGGGAGGGAAATCCAAATCTTATCTACAGAGCCTCACTTCCCTCTCAATCAATAAGGAAGTAATTATGAACCTGAAAATGATTCCATGTTTCAAAAAGTGCATTCTCGTGTTTCCAATCACAGATATTTTCTGAGCTCCTCTGGGTGCAAGCTGCTGTGCCAGGTGCACTTTGGAGTAGCAGTCTTGAGCTGTAAAGCACAGCTGAACGTTAGTTACAGTGGCTGGATTCCACACTCGCTCTCTCAGGAGCCTGCACCAGATTTGGGAACATGTACTTAAGCGTCCTACTCTGAAGATGTGAGACACATTTGTTCTAATGTAATCCTGATAACAGTGCAGTCTCCGTGCCTTTTGCAGGGGATGGGAGTCTGATCTCGCTCCAGTATTCTCTACATGTGTTTTCACAGTGGAAGTTTTTCTCCCAGATAAAAACATTTGGTTTTTAATCTCTTCACATCTTGAAATTGAGAACCAGAAGCCTTAAGCAGATTTAAATTCCTAAAATGACCTTTGAGGATCACCCCTCACCCCTTCTGAAGTAGCCCAGGCCCAGAGTGGTTCAGTCCTTTGCCAGTGGTCACACAACTAGCCAGGCCACAGCTGGCTGCTTCAGTGTCCTGTCAGTCTGGATGCCCTTTTCACTGTCCCTCCTTGGCACCAGGGCACAGCTTGATTTGCTAGTTTTATTGGATAACTGGAAAGTATATAGTTTCAGGTTTTAAAACTGTTAAGATGACTTACATCTGTTTTGGGTTTTCTTTGGTATCCTTTTTGTTTTTTTCTTACAGGGCTTTCAGCAATTGTGAGACCTTCTAGTATCAGACAGAGCACCAAAGGCATTTTTACTGCTGGTGAGAACTTTAGAAAATTCTTACATAAAGTGCTTGCTGGATTGAGAGGTTGCAGTGCTCTTAGTTAAAATATATCTTCTGTGTACTGGTGAAATGCTGAACTTTTATGGTCCTACACTAGACATTGCAGTACCATATGCTGTTTAGAGCTGATCACCTAAAATGCCAGGCCGTTTGAGGAACTGTTGTGAGACTTTGCTGCTCCTCACAATTCTTTGCAATTCTTTGCAATGTGGAGTTTTCACATGTGTTTTTATATGTATCAAAGCTACACATGTAAGCCACTGCAAAAGCAGCAATACTTTGTCCTGTTTCCTTTTCTTCCCTCTCTTTCTCTACAATTACATCCAACTCTTTTGGTGAATTGTTTTTGTTTTTACTGCCATTTCTCTTAACTAATGATTTTATATTGCTCCTTCCATGCTTTTCAACTTTCGGCACTGTCTAGTGACGCATCTCTATGGGAGATTAGAATTCAACTGTTGTACCAGTCCTCACTACACTCACTCACCCTCCCATCTCTGTCCTCCTAATATACTTCTCTTGGAGTTTTGGCTAAGTCAGTATTCAGTTTCACAAGCTATAAGGCACATACGTACTTTCCCTTCCCTGTATGGAGTTTGTTTTCACCTGCACCCTGGGGCGCTTCTGTTCCTGCATGCTGAGTGTTTCATGTTCTCGGTGCACACCGTCATCTTGATGACACGCATGGTCCCCTGGTTTCCTAGAAAGGGTGTGTGGGTACAAATGTGGAGGTCACTATGTCTGAGAATCTCTTTGTCTACCCTCAGGCATAATTGACACTAGGATGGGAATAGATTAGAAACTATTTTCCTTTAGACATTATTCTGTAAATATCTTCTCACTTCCAGAACTGCTGTCAAAGTCCAAAGCCATTCAGACTCTTCATCCCTTGTATGTGTTCTTTCTGGAAGCTTGCTGGGTCTTCACTTTTCCCTGGGGCTCTGAAGTCTCTCCGTGATGTGCTTGATGTGAGTCTGTTTTTATGTTTTATTGGGCACTCATTGCCCCTTCAATTTGGAAACTCAAAATACTCTTTAATTTTCTCCCATCTGTTTTCTCTGTTCTCCTTCTGGAGCTCCTTTTATTCAGATATTGACCCTCCCAGACTAGTCCTTGGGTTACCATTCCTTCCTTTCCTATTTCTTACCTCTTTGTCTTTGCTTTGCTTTCTGGGAAACTTTTTCAACTTTAGCTTCCTATCTTTCTGTTGAGTTTTTTGTTTCTGCTTTTTTTTTTTAAGAATGCCCTGGGATTCAATGCTATGCAGGAGCTCTATCACTGGGTTACATTCCTAGCTCCTGCTATTCTATTTTTAATTTCTAGCTCTTTTGTTGTTCTCTGAATACCCCCTTATTACATCCTGTTCTTGTTTTATGGTCTTAAGTATTTGAACATATCTTTAGGTGATATAAAATTGCCCTCCAAAGTGACTATGTTGATTCACAGGCTGATGAGCAGTACATGAGAATTCTCTTTTCTCCCCATTCTTTCCAGTACTTTGTATTATCTGCTGAATAACTCTTCTAGCTCAGCCTGTCTTCATGTGACTATGTGTTGAATATCTCTCTACACTAGCTACTCAGGACTCAAAAGAAAATGGAACAGGGTTCACACCTGTAATCTTAGCTCCCCAGGACTCAAAAATGAATGGAGCTGGGTGCCGGTGGCTCACACCTGTAATCTTAGCTACTCAGGAGGCAGAGAGCAGGAAGATCGAGGTTCAGGGCAGGACTGAACAAATAGTTCAGGCAAATAGTTCTTGAGATCCTGTCTCAAAAACCAACACAAAAAGGGCACCTGCCCAGCAAGCATGAGGCCCTGAGTTCAAACCCCAGTCCCTCCAAAAAAAAAAAAAAAAAAAAAGTGAATGCAATACCATCCTGCCTTCTGGGGATCATAGTCTAAAAGACAGATGTGCTCATAGAGGTTGGCAGTTTGAGGGTGAAATGGCAGAGGTAGCCCAAAAAGAGAGTGATCTTTCACCTCGAACCTGCTCCCAGGGTTTGAGAGTGCTCTGGAGCTGGTGTGTCCACAACTCTTAGTGTCTCACAGCCCAGCTGCTTAGATGCACACTTGAGCCCTGGGACAAAGTGTTGCCCTCCCGAATCTTTGGGAAAATGAGACAAAGATTCAGCATCACTTATACCAAATCTATTGGGAAGATCTACCCTAATTTAGATAATCATTTAGTCTGTGTTCTACTGGTTTTGCTGGCAAGACCAAAGGTGAGGTGCTTTGTTTGCTTGGGTGATTTGGGCTGTTGATTTATGATTTGCACAGGTGCTCCCTTGCCAGGATTCCTCTTGGAAGAGTCGCAGTGATTGGGTTTTCTTCATTTTTTTGGCTTCCCACACTATAAGGAATTATTATTATGTTTTTAGTTGTGGTAATGGTGTTAATGAAGTTTTTTAAAATCCTTTTTTTTTTCAGAGATACATACTAAAATATTTATGGATAAAATGATACCACACCTGGGATTTACTTTAAGATAAAGTGGTAGAGGGAAGTAATAAGGGCTTTATACTCAAGATTATTCATAGCTGATGCATTGTTGAAGCTGAGTAAAGGTACACAGAGATATGTCATACTATTGTGGCTAGGGTTTTATTTTGTTTGTTTTGAGGGTGGGTCTTGCTGTGTAAACCAGACTAGTCTCAGACTCAGTCCTCTTGCCTCAGCCTCCCAAGTGCTGGGATTCCTGTTTATTTATGTACTTTTTTAATCTTGAATTTTTCTTTAATAAAATATTTTAAAAGTGCTGGGTGTGGATGGTTCATGCCTGTGATCCTATATACTTATGAGACTGAGGTCAGGAGGATCTCAGTTCAAGGTCAGCCTGGGCAAATAGTATGCGAGACATCCTTCCACCACCACCCAGCTCCAAAATAACGAGAGCAAAATGGACTGGAGGGCCATTTTTCTATGCTTTTTCAAACCCCAATACCACCAGTGAATGAACGAATGAAAAGAGCCACCAGAAATGAGTCCTTGGTCATCTTTCTGTTCATTCCTTCCCTTCGCCAGCAGAGGGCAGTGGGTTGCAGAACCCACAACCCAGGAGTGCCAGTGCTAACTTGCTTCACTTTCACTTATAATGAGGCCACATTGTCCTGTGGAAGCCCAGAGTGACAGAATGTGTGTAGCCTGGCCCAGAGGTTGCAGAACTGTGGAAAGTGATGAACACTGCAGATTCTTGGGCCTCCTCACCTTATACTCTGGCTCTTCTGTTTACGGAGGTCATGGGCTGTGATAAAAACTGTCTAGCATAACACCCAGGGCAGGGGTTTGTGAACCCCAGAGACAAGAGCTCAGATCATAACTTAACCACCATGACTTGGGCAAGTTACCTGGTTTTTCTGAGTTCTGATTTCATAGGAATATTATGCCTGCCTCACTAAATCTTAAAACTTCCATCTTAAGACATAAAAAAGCATGTAGCACTATGGCTGATCTTTCTTTTGGTAGCATTATCTGAAAGTTTACTTATCTCTTTACATGTTAAAATGGTACTGGCCCATTAGTCCTCCAGGTCTCCAGTGGAGGAAGCAAGCAGTGATGAACACATGCCTACATTCTCTCCTCTGTCCTCCTACCCTTTGTTCTTATCATTATAGTTTTGGTTGGACTGCCTTGCTTTTGCTAGGAAGATTCAGTTTTCCTTTAGCCAGCAGATCCCTTTGCTATTCAAATTCAGTTGTGTTGAGGGAGTCAGCTAAGGGAAGAGACTAAGCTTGAGTTGGGAGCACATGGATCTGAGGTTCTAGTTATTCATTTTTTTGCATTGTATAACCTTGGTACATTAATAATCCCCTCTCTTGTGAAACAGTGGGGGAAGTTCTGAGGGCTAAACAAGTGTCCAGAATATCTGTCCTAGGACCTAGTGGGTGCTGTATAAACTTGGATGGATCTAGTTCCAATCTCACACTTTTCCTAGAAAAGATGGAAACCAACTCAGCAAACTGGGCATCCCAGTAAATGGCACTGGAAAACATATGGTGTGTTCTCATGTAGTCTGACACTGTCTGGGGTTATTAGGTCCCT